TGAATTCCTAACTTGTTGTTTTATTAGCATTGGGAACTGTCATAGGGCACTGGAACTCTCAGTATCTCAGCCTGTCCATCCCTAGAATGGGAATAATATGGTCGCTACTGCCCACAGATGATAAATGATGTAGTGAAGGTGCAAAGCTCTGGCAACACTAAGTCACACACAGGAGACACTGAGTGCATACACAATAGCTGCTCACCAGATGACAAATGCTGACTCAATGAACAAATCTATCTCAAAAATAATTTTGACCAAGACTGTTACTTACTGAAAGCATATAGTGGTAACTAATGAAGAAACACTCGTGGCTGAAGTACACTTAAAAGAAGAAACACTACTTAATTGTGATAAAAGAACATGACCGGAAATGACAGAAACATTAATTCATTCCTCCTCGTCTCAATCCCAGGAAACAACACAGGGCTTCTAAAATGTCATGTTATGTGTATTATCACACCCAAAATGATTAAAGTTCTAATTCACAGAAATGAGCCATCATGTTGGTGATGGGAATAATAGAAGATGCTCCTAACCTTCTAACAAAGAACACATCTTGGGTTCTATGCCATTAATGTATTAAAACCTTTCTTATAGGGTCCTAAGCATTTCTGGGAGCCTGAGATAGATCTTGTTTGCCAGCCTTATTTACAGAGAGCACACACTATACAACCGCTTTGCTCAGTGGACCTGAACCAAGTATGCAACTGCTCAGATTTCTGGTTCAGCGCTCACTTAAATGTGCTCAAGGCATAAATTCTATGAAACACTAAATACAAAAAGGAGCCCAGTACTGTCAATTTGGTAGTGCAATAAAACTGTGAGAAGCCTAACTACTACAGAATTCTTAAAGTTGACACTAAGGCAGTCGTTACTAGGACAGAAGACTCCTGGATCCTCCAACCTGAAATTTCAGTATCCTAAAGCTTAGCATTGTCCCACTCAAAGTGACCTGCTACGGAATTCCCTGATGCCAATTAAATGACTGAAGCCTAAGTGATATTCTACCCACCCAAGGGGTGTGAGGTCACAGCTAGCAAATTACTAAAACCCACATTCCTGCCAAATACTTAGATAACAATGAAGCCCTATTTGAAGGTGCCACTGTTGCACTGCCATAGATTCTGTGATCTGATGTATCAAAGACCTCCTACTGTTCAGTTCCTGAAACACAGCCTATTTTCTCCCTTGCCAGCTCCCCTTCTGCTGGCTTTAACAAGTGTTTCAATCTTCGGTTTTCCCCACCTCCCACCTCCATTCAGTTTGTTCCAAACAGCAGCAAAACAAAACCACAGAAAGAGTACAGATCAGACTGTAACCAAATATTTACTGTCCCAGTGACATGCTAAGGAGCATGTCATACCCTTTCACTACCTTTCCTCCCTCCAAACTGATGTTATAAAACCAAAGATTGTGCTTACATTTCATAGATGCCAATCACAGTGGCTTTTATCTATAAATTATGCTTGGTTAGTCAGATATTTAACAACTCCATACAACAGAAATGAATCAGAGCATGTTGTCTATACCCTGTGATGATATTAAGGATGATTACCAAAGAACTGAAAAGAGAGAAGTTAAGGTAAGAAAAATAACCTCCCATTAGAGGGGGAAAAGCATCACATTGCAAATAAGCGCCTGATGCTAACAAATCCATATCATCCACTTATAATCTAATTAATGTGGTCACTACTCTTCTATGAATTGCATGGAAATGGAAAACAATAGTTGTGAACTATGCCAAAAAAAGGACAAGTTTTAAAATGACAAACTATCAAAAACCTGAAATACAGTACATATGAACTTATTCCAGATTAATGTATATATCTGTGAGGCCCACTTGTTTTCTGATTCTTAAGTTCATGTAGCTCAAAAATATCAACCACTAACTTTGAGAACCTTGGTACTATGGTAACACAAACTGAAAATAAGAACTACAACAAGAAATAAGTAGAGTGTCTCAAACGCATTGACTACAATGGAAAATCAGATTGAAAAATGTTTAAGAAATGTGAGAGAAGACGAATCTACTACAGAATTCCAGTAACCTCTGATATTTACAGAAAACATAGACACTAACCTCACTTTTCTCCACCTTTTTGTCTACATGTCTACTTATGTACTTTATGATCTACAAATTAAATATAATCTATAAAATGCTGGAACATGGCAGGATATATTCTAAGATTTCTAACCAAGAATATCATCTAAATTTTACAATATATGAAATGGAAGATACATTTAAAACCTTTAGAATTTTAATCATCCTTGTGCCTTTTCCTTAAACATTTAAACCAAATTTCGTAACTAATAATGACTAAATATATCAAGAGCAAACTAAAAAATAAATTTTCAAATGAATATAAGACTTTAGTTTTCAAATTTTTCAGTATATTAGAAATTTATCTGTTTAACTAGATTTTTAGTTTAACAGTCCAGTTTCCATCCCACATTTTCCATAAGATTTTCAAAAGTACTAGCATTGACAGAACAGAAATTACAAAAACTGCTAGGCACGTGGACTAAAGGCAACAGGGACAGTGCCTGTGGCCTTTATGTACTGCCTGATAAGCCAGGTCATAGTCCTGCTCCCTCCCCCAACTCTCAGGGCTTTTCTAGCCAAGCCTCATTAAATATACAAAAATCATCTACTCAGCCTTTCCAGAGTCTTCCTCTTTTATGGCCTTTACTTGAAGAAAAGGAACACAAGAGGGAATGCTACAAATAAATAGTCACAGCTTGTATTGTGAGATTCAAACACCTGATCTTCCTTTCTCTAGAACGTACTGACATGCCTGCTTTTTACAATGGTTACTGACTCCAGAAAGCTGAGTATTATCCTAGAAGGCTATATTAAAGAACTTAACATTTCAAAACCTAAAAACACTTTATTTCAGATGTGACAATTAATTAATCATGTCAGGACACCTGCCACCTTAGGTAGCCTTAGACCTCTCCATTTACCAAATGAACAATTTTCCATTTTTTCAATTTTGTTTATTTTACTTAAAGAAAAGAAACAAAACAGAAAAAGGGAACAAATAATACATAATTTCAAAAAAATAAATAAACAGTAGGAAATCACTAGTTGATAAATTACATATTGTCCTCTTACAAAAATAGTTGTTCAAGTTACAAAAGTGAAGCACACAAAGTGGACATTCAAACAAAGACTGCAAACAGTTCTGTTCAATAATCCAACAAAAACTTAGTAATGTGGTTATCAATCCTACACACCTAAACATACATGCAGTTTTAACCTTTAGAGCATTTTCTTTTCCTCTCCTTTTTACAATAGCAATTACACATTTTGAGTTTTATTACTCCTACATTTCTTATTACTTTTTACACTAGAGGCACAATATGATATTTATAAATATGATTCTTGTTTATTTTACTAATGAGGATAGCCTCAATTTTTCTCCATTTGCCTATGAAGGCCTCAAGATCATCCTTTTTATAGCTGAGTAATATTCCATTGTATAAAAATGCCACATCTTTTTCACCCACTACAATTTTCCATTTTTATGCAAATCAAATGATTGCTGTAGTCAGGTAGGAGACTCTTCCAAATCTAAGTCATTGCAAAAAAAAAAAATGAATGGGAAAGTTTACTCAGCTCTAAAGCCTTTATCATTTTTATTCCACATGCAAGATAAGACCTTCAATCCCCAAATAAAAGTTCCCTAAGATGTAGTTTTCAATATCCAACATTTCCAAAAATGTGTATCTGACATTTCTAGTCTATTTCTAATATTTGCAACAAATCACTCACCTGTTCTTCTAACAGCACTAAATAAAATGTTATAACGAGGTAGCTTTTATTTTGAAAAGTGCCTAATCAATTCATTGGTATTTGCTGGCAACATGTCTATATTAAATTGACTAATTTATTGTAATTTAATTAATAATCAATTATGTGCCACACACTGCACTAGGCACTAAGAAAGAAACAGAAAAAGAAAAAGACTTTATAGCATAATATACACTACACTAATAATTATCTAATTACTAGTAAGTACTAAAAAAGAAAAGTTAACTATTAAATAATTTTCAAACCCTGGGGACAGTGTTAGTACAATAACAATGTAATTTTAAGTTGGTTGACTTAAAGGGAGTTACATGTGATATATCAAGATCTTTCTTTGTAATCATATTAGATAAGAATATATAACATAATAATTTAGTCCTTCTAGTATAATTACATGTCTACAAATGTGAACTTATTAGCACATTAAGTTTGTATTTTATGGTACATAACCTTGATGTGAAAATATTACAAAGTTCAAGAACTATAAAAGATCAAGAATTAATTTCTTCTACACAAATATTTTAGTGAAAAACACTGATAACTCCACAGAAGTATTCCTTTGGGGCGCTGGAGGACCTCAAGATTTCATTGAAGAAGGAACAGTAGTGCTTAAAAGCATTAAGTGATATTTATTTCCTAATAGAATCTTATAAAACGTATAATATGAAGAAATAGCTCACAATGTTTCTCACATGAAACTTCTTAGAAGTGTTAATTCTGCCAGACTATTTCATTTGTAACTATGTTCTTCAGCATCTGTAGAGACATTAATACATTGGCAACATGTCTTATTTTTAATTTTACAAATGTGATCATCTGCATATAGCTTATTAGTAGACACTAAGACAGGAAAGGTATGTAGATGACTTTCTGCTATTCTTGATGCCAAAAGTATTTACACTTGAACAAAAACTCGTTGATTATTTGAGATAAATGCCCACGTGCTAGTTGTGAAACACATGATTCTGTCCTTGAAAATCCATAAAAAAAAAAAAATATATATATAATATATATATTAATAGGCTAATAGAAAAGTGATAAGAAATTCCTCTGAAAATTCAATAATTAAGTTGCCTTTTTATGAGCTCCACTTTTTGTGCTTCCTTTAGATTCCTGGGCACATTAAGGTCATGTTATTTAGTCCCAATCAGAATAAAAAGCAAAGAAGCATTAATACTAAGATCACCTTTGTTCCAAAGATGACGATAACACTGGTCCAGAGGCTGGTTAAGAATCACAAGACAGTATCTCAGATTTCCTATTGAAAAAAAGATAAAATAAATAAGTGAACTGAGTCATTCTCCTTATTTACATCCAGAATTATTCTCTACCAGCCCTTATTTTCAGTAAGTACAGAGCTACACAGATACTTTCTGATACTCCGGTTTATAACATTTCATATATTAACAAGATCTACTGCAATCAGTGGGTCTGTCACGTTTCTATGCTGCCGAGGAATTTATTTTAAAAACAACTGATGAACAGGACACGGGGTGCATGCGTACAGTCTCAGCACTCTGGGAGGCTAAGGCAAGAGGACTGTACATTTGTTTGAAGCCTGGGCAAGTGAGGGACTTAGCAATCCTGGAGCAAATGTAAAAATAAAAAGGGCTAAGTTCAGTGTCCAGTACCACAAAGCCATCACAAAAACCACCAAGTCTACTTCTTTTCATATGACGTAAAATTTTCTTATATTAGTTCTTCCTCTTGTGATGTTCCCACCTCTTCAATACACCTACTTCCTTCTACCTCACTGGTTTAATATCATCCTAACATTACTTCTTAAGATTAGATCTCAGATTAGAAATAAAACAAGATAAAGAAATGAAAGGATACGCTATAATCAATGGAAGATAATATTTTATCAATTATATATCCAGCCCTGCGAGCACAAAAAGAAGACAGTGTCTATGAGAGAAAAGCATTTATAATAAAGATAATTTATTCAGTAAGTATATTAGATAAACAGATCAATGAGAAGGACATGAGTTCAAAGTTTAGGAAGTTCAATAAGGTCAGGTATCGTGCTAGAAATCTTTAGGAAATGTAGATTTTTTGAAACTGATGTTACAAAGAAAAGTTGTGAAAAATAAAGGGGCATTCTAGCAAAGAAAACAGTTCACTGGAACTGCTATGTTAGCCACTTGGTTTAAAATAATGACAATTTTAACAGACCGTAGGCCTTCAGCACTAAAATCAGACTTTAGACATAGTGCTTAAATAACAATTTAAGTTAAGGTGCTCAGGACATACTCAGCAGTGATGGAGGAATGACTAGTAAATGTGCTTTATGGATACCTGGGAAGAATCCATGCCCAGATAATAGCTGATCACAAGAGCAGACTGGCTGCTGAGAATTTGCAAAAAAAGAGAGAGAAAATGAAGATGGAACCACTCACTGTCTTGCTCATCGCTACGTAACACACGGTCAATGAGGAAGTCAGAAAGGTAAAATAATTAATATAGTATTTCTACGAATGTGCTGTCTAAAACCCCATAGGCTACAGAGAAGTCAAGGAGAGAATGACAAAAGAAGCCAACTATGGGGAGGGCGGGAGGAACTTAAAAGAAAAACCTGAAAATTCAGAGAGACACACAAGATAGTAGAGAGCAAAGGACTGATAGTAACAGCTCCTACAAAGGAAGCACGGACACCTTAAAATATAAAAATACGGAAATATTCTACACAAGCACAGGGAAGCAAGAGAAAAGGGGAGATCAATGGATTTATTCTTTTGACAAGAGCACAACACTCTCTTGTTCAAATACCACCCCAAGACTAAGATGCAGAGCCCCAGCTCAGACAGGGCTGCTGACAGCAAAAAGGAGCTGAATCCCAGGCTCCCGAAGACACCAACAAGGCAAGCAGAGCCCGTTTATTTATAATAAGCTAAAAATCAAAGTGAGAGGAGAGAGTATACATTAGACTGGAATGTGAAAACTGCTGTTAAACAAACAGAGGCACTCACAATGCACAATTTTCAAGGAAGAAACTCCACAGGGGCTAACAGATACAGGGTATTGGCTCTGTCTATAATTTTAGGACATTTTTATACTTATTCTGGGAAATAGAAGTAGGTTTATGTGTAAACAAGCAGGTTGGTGATGATAGCTTTGAAAATTGGCATAATTACTTGTCAAAAGGAATCTCGGGGATTTGCTTGGGTACTTTTAAGATAAATGATTGTGACAGAAATCAGCAATTGCCTTATGATAGTCTCTCCTTAGTAAAGAAGAGGGACTTTTTTTTTCCTGTCCTCTGTTTTCATTTGGTTTACAGAGTATATCACTGTTTCGAAAAAAAGAAAAAAAATGAATACACAATATGGCCATAGGTCTAAGTACAGCCAAGAAGAAAATACAGAAGCTTTATATGTTATTTCAAGTTTCTTGAAAATGAGGGAGCTTTTACTTCTGCTTCTTTCCTTCTTCCTTCCTGCCATGGAGAAGCCAGGGTTGAAGGAGTCACTGAGTGAACAGTTAGCAGCCACCCTGGGTCACAGGAACAGGATACACTGGCCAGGTTTGCTGATTATTTCCTGAGTTCTCTACTCAAGCACTTCTCTACTTACCTCCAGATTTTCAACCCTTTCCTAATGCTACCCTTAATTCTGAGAAACTCACAGTAGTAAGCTCAAAAGCTAGGAATGGAAAAAGAGCCCCTGACACAATTTTATGAGAGTTTGAAGAAAGTCAAAGCCTATATGCCCAACAAGAGATGAATGGATACAGAAAGTGTGGTAGTTATATACACAATGGAGTACTATTCTGACATATAGAAAGATAAACTTGAGCCATTTGCAGATATGTGGATGCATCTTGAGACCATGTTAAAAAAAATCAGATATACATGCTTAAATACTGCATGGTTTTTCTTACATGAGAACCTCGAAGTATAAATAAATAGCAAAATAAAACATAGATAATAGGAAGTACAGAGATAGAGCTTTTTAAAAAGGGAAAGAGATCAAGAAACGGAAGGAGAGAGGAGGAAATGGAGGGAAAGAGGATGAAAAAAAATAAATTACGTCATGTGCATGTACCAGCTTTCAAGGAATGTAATTTTTATATACTGCAAATATAGACTAAAAAAGAGAAAAAAGCTGTAACTGTCAATCAGATTCTTGCTTTTCTTTCTTTTATTTCCTCCATTCCTCTTTCCTTAAAAGTTATTCTCAAATTCACTATGGGACATGGTGAGACGTGAAATTTCTGGTCCTTATCCTTACCCTATCAACACACGAATCTAGACAGAAGATGCAGGAATCTGCATTTCACAAACAGATTCCTCTGACAAGGTGGTCCATGAACATCTGTTTTTCACTTGTTTGTCAGTTTTTAGCTCCATCAGACTTCCAAAGAGGCCAAACTCCATAGGATTTCTTATGCCTGTTTAGGCTTAAAACTACCATCTCACTGGAGTACCAGGCATGATATCTGTACAAACCAATTCATTTATTCTTTCAAACAGTACATGTCAAGTTCTGAATTTGGTGCTAGAGAAATAAAAACACAGCACGCTTGTGTTTCATTTAAGTAAATTAAGTTGAGTTTTCATGTTCTTACTGAAAGAGTTTTGGCTCAGGCCGGACACTGTAGCCCGTAAAGCCAAAGAGCTCCTATCTCCCCCACCCTTAGGAATCTATCTCTGGCGCCAAACAAAGACCAATAGGCTACCTGTGCATCCCTAATGCCCCCTTAGGTTCCACCCCAAACCGAGGCTACTTACATGCCTCACTCCACCAGACAAAAAGCTGGACTCCAGTGCTCAGGGGTGCTGGTTTTCTCTCTCCGTGTTCTCAGAATAAAGGCCTCTTTTGTTTTATACTTCTCATCTTTTGGAAATAATCCTATCACTTACTTTAAGATAAAAAGCCATATTTGGATAATCCTTTGGATGGTCCTTTTCTCTTTGGCAAGTTTTACACTTGTAATGATGGCATTCAACAATATGACATCCATTGAAACATGTGAGTGAAACTGTTTTCTGTTATTGAAATGCTCATATGTCAGCTCAATATTTTTGTGGCCCAAAGAGAAATCTGATATGAGTGGAAAAACATTATCTACATCATTGCCCTTCTAAGCCAATATGGTCATTAAGGCAATGCCCATGAAAGCACTTCATTTTTGAAAAAATATCAAGCTGTATAAAATGTTATGATTTACTAATGACATTGTTAGTAAGAACTTACTTCACCTGTTTACATATACATAAATAATAATGCATTTATACAAAAGTTATTATTATACATAAAGTTATTTAGATAGTAGGATCGGATAACCTTTTCTTTTTAAATCTAGTTTAGTTATCTAATAGGCTCTGATAAGACTTTCCTCTTTCAATCTAGATTCCCTTGAAATCATAACTAAATGAAGTTGGTATGGCATTTATCTGACACTTGAGATCTCACAATCATTAATATAATCATTAAGAATACAGAAAAAAATAGCACCTGGAAATACTATAGTGCCCAGATAGTGTATGGGCATATCTCAGCACAGACATTTCACCATAGTATAGCTCTACCTCACTCTCAGAATTATGAAACAATGCATCTGATTCTAAATATTCAAGAAATTTAAAAGATGTATTAACCATGGAAGCAAGGAAATTAATTGTCTTATGTCAAGCATTTCTCAAGTTTTCACACTGATATTGTTTCTGAGATGTACCAGAGGATTTAAGAAAGACTATGAAGAGATTTCTCATTATGCTATAAAGACTAGAAATTTTCAAACCATGTCCAGTATGACAAATGCAAAGATAAGTATAGACACAAAGGGTAGGAGTTCCAAGAGTAATGGCAACAGAACTTTTTTATTATCTACAAAATGGCAGAAACAGTCAATCCTAAAAAAACAAAAATATAAATTAGTCTTAATTTTTCAAATGTTAAGTCAAAAGTCCTTGAATTTCTTTCTGAAAGGGGCTTCAATTATAGATGATGAAAAATCTTAATCACAGATATAACGAAATCAAAATGTCCCAAATTAAGTGGAAATTCAAAATTAAGTACAAAATTCCCAGCTTATGAAAAGGAAATAAAAATGAAGTCAAATTATCAGCCTTGGACTAAGATTGGAATTCTTTGAAGGTTAAGGACTAGATAAAATCTTGCACATTCATATGTTTAGAAAGGAAGACAGTTGCCACATATATCTTTGGTGTACATAAGTATCTCTGCTCCATTACTTTTAGGAAAAAAGAAAACACCCAACCACACTGGAGAAATGACTGATTATACGAGTAGCAAG